TCTTACAGATACTTCAATGCAGCTTTGATATCATAACAAAGTGAAAAATCCCTTATCATGAAATACATAATGTATTACTCTTTATGAGTTTTGGTAGTTGTAGGTGTGGGTCTTATTATGGGCAAATGTTAATTGAAATAAACTCCCAATTCCATTCCAATTTTTGCCCATCATTGAATTTCCATTGAAGAACACATTACTGTTGCACGAGCAACAAGCAAGACAGTGCTTTTATTGAATTTATTACTAGAAGACATTAAGAAAAAAACACAGAGTAACATACAAAATACATTTAAGTTGTAGAAATAATCCAAAATGGGTCCCATGGTGGAGACTGCATTTTGTATATTTGTTGCTGAACATAATGTTTGGGAATAGGACACTACAAAATCAACGTTCTTAAGGTTAGCTACTTTATACTGCATTTACATGTACTTACTAAAAGCAGTACTCAAGGGCAGGTTGCTTTTACTGAGTTTACCCAGGCATTGTACTGGTTATGTAGTGACATAGTGGTTCTCAATCCTTTGTCTCTAGTATGCGTCATAGTACTGACCTGTGATTTGTATGCATCTGAAAGTTTTCAGTCTCTCAATGGGATGATGTAAGCCCTTGGCAATGTTTGAGAAGCTTCAAAGAGGTACACCTTGAGGACATTAAGAAAACCCACTGCATTTCTTGATAAGAGTTAGGATATGTCCCAATGTGCACAGGTCCAAACTTATCAGTTCACAGACTAGCCCTTTTTCATGGCCTTTGGCTAGTTGGCCAGCCTTGGCTGTTTGCTTTGCTATATGAGATACAAACCGTTGTCCTGAAGTTTGGGTTGTACGAGCCTGGGCAACTTCAATCAAATTGTGACCTTGTTCTGTCAGAACAAATCTGTCCAGTGGTCACTTTAACCGTTCTAGGAAATTGCCAGATAAATGTTTTATCACATAATGTTGTTCAGATCCCTCTAGGACTGAGGTTAGAAAAAAACGATTTGCACCTTGTGACCGGATGTCGACTTTCGTTATATAACTTGTTAATGATAGACACTGAAATGCTGTCTGGGGGTTACAGCATTTCTGTCATTTTTGCATCACGCATTCAATCTTGCACTACACCCTCTAAAGGACATGCTAAATTGCTCCTCAGTTTTTCTGTAAGGATGTAACAAACTAGAAGATCAGACCAGGATGGCCTGTGTATGGAGAAGAGTTATTCCCAACATATTCCCATTTTGTAGGTAGCATCCTGAATTCACAGGTTAATCAAAATGATAGCAGAGCCAGTGAAAACACCAGTATTTCAGCACCATGGACAGTCGATTTCAGCAAAATGTTATCCATTTGCTGGGCTCTAAATATATTTAGGAAGGTCAGCATTTTGCTTTGAAACTTCTTTGTCTGGTTTTTGTATACTTAAATATACTTAAATTTTTGCTGACATTCTACTATTTTTTGTCTTATGTGGTGCACCCCAAATTTTTTTTGGGGCACATAACTATTTAGTTTGGGTGACCAGTGCACCTACTCCAAAAAATGAATTTCGAGCCCTGCCTCTGCTTAGAGGTGACATATCAAATTTCCTGACCATAGATAGAAGCCCCAGGATGTGTGAAATATCTGGCAGTAGCTAATTACCACATGCAGGGCTTTGCACCCTTTGATAATTAGCAGAGCTAAGAGGATATCAGATGGGTGGGTAAAAAGGGAGTGATGCAGTCATATAACATTCTGGCTTTTAATTTCCTGAAGGTTGAGTGGATATGTTAAATTATCTAACTTTATAAGAGATCTATACGAATACAGCCGTTAGTTGCTTTTGATATGTCAATTGCAGGAGTAAGTCCTTCAAGTTTGGTAAGACGTCCTTATGTAAATATCAAGGGGTCCTCAAAGCATTAAAGCTACGGGAAACAGATTCTCCACTATTTGAGCAAACTCAGAAGGAGCCAGCATACATGGATGGATTCTTATGTTGATATCAAACTTATATTAAAGATACTCTTCTCTGGGTATCATTTACAAAGACTATTGGGGCCAAATGGTTATGGACACTGTTTCTTGACAAAATGGTGAAGAGTTTGAATTCCAGCCTGCTGTTACTTTTCTAACTAGATTCTAAAGTCCACTGCAAGGCTTGCAGTTTAATATCTATATTAGGCTTCAAATCTTCTTGTTACCACAAAGTTGTTGCTATTCTGTAAGCATTTGACTTGCTGCAAAGGTTACTCTCTCATGCTGCTCTCTCTGCAACTGATCATGCATGTTGAACAATTTGGCCAACACACACTGGGGCGTACCCTTGCTCTTTTCAATTAGTGCAGTGTACAGTTTGACATGCATGGAATGTGAATCTCACCAGTGCACTGAATACAGGACTACAAGATTTAGCCAAGCTTGATTGATTAGTGCCTGCAATCAGCTGGCTATAGTGGCATAGTGTTCAGAATCCCCATGGATCACAAGGTGGCGATTGTGAATCCGAGCTTCTATCTTTTTAAGTATCAGGCCCTAGTGACTCGATTATATAGATGACATCCACGCCCATATTAATTTTCGTCCATTTCCAAAAAAAAGTTTGGGACCATACTAAGTTGCCAGAGGAAGGGAAGCAGGGCTCAAATTACCACTTGCTTGCAGCACCAAGTCTTTCAAAGTCAGGAAGATGTAAAAGAACGAAAGTGTGGGCTCAGAGGATGTCATCTACGTAATCAAATCAGTATTGCCTTAGTAGATTTATGGACTAACCCAATTTTGTACCCATGTTGTTGGTGTATACAACACATTCTTATGTCTATCCAAACATGAGAACAACCACACAGGCAAATGAATCCACCTGGCCTTACCACCTTGCTGTTCAAACAAAAGTGAAATGATGATAATTGTCTTTGACAACCAGATCCCTCCAGGAAGTCAGAAGCAAGGTGTGAGGAGAGAGATGAGGGCGTCCTCGTCCCAGAGCTCTGTGATGTATAACGGATGATGTGGCCAAAACTGCATGCCTGGAGGGCTTTTGGCCACCAAGTCACACACTATGGCTCACGGGACCCTCAGCGTTTCAATCTCAGCAACTGGAACACTGGTAAGGAAAGGCACTTCAAACTTCATAAACCTGCAAACTTTTTTCACTTAAGGATTCCACTTTTTCTGTTTGTCTGTGGGTCTTTTCTTCATCCTAAAAACTCTGCTGTATCACAAAAATTGAAAGCATTTTGAGAATGTAGCAAAGGATATAATAGAAAAAGTAGTTTCCCAATTACGGTGGACTAGGTTCAGACGTCAGGCAAGACATCATTCTGCCTTGCATATGTATGTAAAAGGCAATTTCTATGGTCTTAAGAAAGTTACAATAACAAATGTATATTTTAATTGCTTTCTGAAGATTTCAAATGTTCTATCACCTTTCAATCTGTGTACAAATGCAAGAAGCCTTACCTTTCAGGGCACACACAGCACACATGCATGACAGACAGCACTGAGTAGTTGCTGGTAGTTGCTACCATGCTCTCCAGCCTGCAAACTGAGCTTGACAGAACTGCCTGTTGTCTTCCTCTAACAAAAGGTGTTTTCCAATAGAAAAGAACCAAACCATAAAATCCTTTGAAGGTTAGAACAGTGCTTTGAAGTGTGGTAAAAAAAACAACATGTATTTAGGCAAGGTATTCACAATTTGGATCATACTTATGTATAAACTTGTTTCCTTTGGTGTCTCCAAAGCTTGCTGCAAATGCCCATATTTGGTTGTGTGATTGAGCAGGCATAGAGACTGTCATATTTTGAAAAGGTTAAGACAGCAAGGTCTCTCTGTCTCTGGCAGCGGAGATGATGAGGACAGGATGTGGGCTTTGCAGTGTGTTTGCTTTCCCTCCTCCACACCTACCCACCAGGTGTCTATGTAGAGCATTTATAGACCAGGCAAGGCAGGAGAACAACATCAATCTTGTGCTGTTGTGCTGTTCCACCAAAACTGTAGTTACATACCTAACATTACCTGTTACATTGCATACGTAGGTATGTACATGTACTGCTTTGTCTATTCTTTTTGCTTTATTGCAAAATCATGGAACTGTCTGGTTGGAAATTAACATTAACTTATTGGAATACTAGTACATGAATGAGAATACAGCAGATAAAACAGTACATATTGAGAAGATGAGTTGACATAATGAAGCCATGATTATATTATGTCTCTTGTCCTTGGCAAGTTCAAATACATTATACATGAAATATCATCACGTAATCTCATGTAAATTTGGTTCCTCTTATTGACCTATTTTTGTGTCCCTTAGAGAACCAACGTCAAAAGAGGAAGAAATATTGAAAAAATGCTGCGTCCCCTTTGTCCTTGGATGGTCAAAAGGTCAATTTGTGGATCAAATGGTGGAAATGAAGGAAATAGAGGCTGTTGACTCCCGGATGGGCACCACTGGCGTGGGGTCACCTTCTGAGCATGGCGGAAAAATTGAGTTTGCTCTCCTGCCTCTTTTGATCAGAGGCACTCTACATGAAATTTCAGTAGTCACCTTTTTTCCAGATCAGCTGGCATCAGGATTAGGGATGGTCTCAGAAGTGCATTTGTTTTTGTGTAATGAAAGTTTTGGGTAGTAGTGATGATAAAAGAAAAATCCAACTCATTTACTAGTATCTCTTTTCCGTGCACGCACGCACAAAAAAAGTTTGGCTAAAGTGAACTGGAACACTGAATGGGAAAAGGGGGAAGACAAGAGCTCTATACAGCTCAACAGATCTGCTTTTGAAGTGGTTATTGAAGATTTGAGACTAGCCCTGGGTGCATCTGACAAGAACATAAATGTATACACAATGTTCCATCTGCTGAAAGGTTATGAATAAGGAATCCATCATGAATATATCTGGGTAATTGCTTCCTTCTTATTAACTTAACTACCATGGAGTATACTGTGTATGATTATGGTTCCCTGACTTCTCCAGAAGCAGAATTTTAAATATTTACTTCGATTTGATGGTAGCATTCATTTTATATGAGACACTCAATGTTAACCCCCCCCCCCCAGTAGTTTGTTTCTGACCAGAAAAGTCAAAGTTCATGGAGCAAAAGAATTGGACATGGGGGTATATAACTTACTATAGCTATGCTAGATTATCAATGGCACTGCCACAGCAATGCTAGATAATCAATGGCAAGGAAATATTTTGATTTTAGTCAGCTGGTAAGATTAAGGAAATTTAGGTCATTTATTTGTTATGGTTCTTGCTAATTTGCATGAAGGAAAGTTCCACTTTTACAATGAAGGTATCTAATCTATTTTAAATGGAAAAGTATATGATTTATTAAGAAGAATTGTTTCTTCATCTCTTACATGTTGCTGGTGTGTAATCCAAAGGGTGGCTGGCCACACCCGCTATACAGATACAGAATGAGATCTCCAGTATGATTGTCAGTTTTCACAAAAGACCACTCTCCCTATACAAGGTTTATGATGGATGGACGTAGGAAAGCTGTAGACCTGGTTGTTGTTCCTTCTGGCATTAGCTACAATCCAGCACATGTTTTAGCAAACTGCTCAATGTGTGGACCTATGAGACCATTTCTAGCTACCCCAGGTTTAAGGTTGGGAAGGTCATCTGTGGTACTAAAAGCAGCTCAAGAGAAGGTTATTTCATAATTGTTCAAAGAACCTTAAGGGCATATGCTATTTCTCTTGCCTAATGTAGCCATTATATGGCAACTCTGTCTGTTGCGTTCAATATTTTGTGATAGCAGGTAACAAAACAGGAGAGGGGAGGAATTTACAAAAGATATACTCAGATGTAAATCCACCAGAGTCCAGCATCCTGGCTGCCCTTTGGCATCTATGAATATAATCTCTTTGAAAGGGAGATGTACTGCAGGGTGCCTGTGGCTGTGTTGGTGTTTGAGGTGGGAATTAGGGGCAGCTGAGTCACCGGGAGCACTCTGAAAAAGGCAGGCCAACTCAATTGTTCAGAGAAAAGTGAAGTTTGGAGCATTCACCCTGGAGTTCAAAAGACTGTCCCAGATGAATAGAGGTGGCTTCAGAGGCAGGCTCTTCTCGACCCAGGATGGGGGTCAATTCAAGTGTGAAAGGCGAAGAAAATCTTATTCCTTTCCTGCTGTAAATGCATTACTTTCCTCCTACATGGGCTTAATCCAGGAAATAAGTGATGGATTTGGCACTGTCTTCATTTGATGGACGTCCAGAGGAATATTTGGGTCATCTTTTAATATATTTCTAGCAAGTGAAATGGCTGGGGTCAGTCACCTTCACATGTTCTATGTCAGGAAAAGCTTGCGGGAATCCTATTAATATTGATGGATCGTTACGGATTGAATTTAACATTTTGTAGTTGATGTGACTAAAGTACTTTCCAATTTTCCTAAGGGATTTATTAGAGCATTACACCGACATTAAGCGATTGTAGCTGGCCAAACCACCTCGTAATGGAAGAAGTCCAAACAGAGAATTGCTCACTTTCCAAGCCTCTGCAGAGATGTAGTCCTCCTGGCATTACAAGAGAGCAATGACAGCTCACAGAAATCGTCTCTAAATGCAATTACTGTCCCACTTACAGTCACATTATTACAAGCACTGGTACATTTAGTCAATGGTAGTGGCTAACAAATCATCATTACCTGTTCTGCTGTGATTGTTTCTAGCAGAATCAGGTGTGTACTCTCTTACCTTCTTTGATCAAAGAATGCAACTAATAGAGGCTTTCAGCCTAAAATAGCTAACAGTATAGGTTATATATAATAATGTAACTCAGGAAACTTGTGGATAACAAAGTGCTCGGAAGTACACTCCAATTTTAGTTTTCCAATATACATTTGTACAGTATACAAGTTTTGGCTAATTCAAATACAATAGCCCCACCTTTTGTGAAAGAAGTTTCAAGTAACAACAATTTTTTTTCAAATTGGAGACAAAGGAAAGCAAAGAGCAATATAGGGTGTCAGAAGTTACAAGGATTTAGCCAATGAGGGGCAGTGTTTTTTATATGAAAGCAAATAAGTATGGCTAATTGGTTTGAACGCAAGCTACATTATGATTGTGATCATGGTACTGACCAGAGATGACCCTTTTTTCTTTGGAGACAACTGTCAATAAAATGGGAATGTGCCTCGGGCCATTTGACTAATTACCTCATAAACGTGTAAATAGATGATGTGATAATACGAGCTGATGAGCACCAGATGAGCATGCCTCATATCTTGATGGTTTTTCAGATATCATTGGGGCATTTTCTCTGGAAGAAACTCCCTCGGGTGCAGTGAAATGTTTTCTTGCAAGTGTTTTGTCAGCCAATTTATGATTGATGGAAATGGTAACTCTGGCCTCCGTATAAGATTTATTGCACCATAACCAGGATGTACTGCAACTGCTGTCAGGTCAAGAAATGTTTTTTTTGCTGTTTGGGGGAACTGCTATGCCTTCCTCTTTTCATATTGATGACCATGCTTAAAATCGTAACTGAGCCTCCTTACTTGTACATATTCTGATGAAATAGCCCCATGGACATCAGAAGATGTCTGAGAAATATTTACTGCATCTGTCAGAAGAGATGACTTGAAATGGCTGCAAAATAACAAAAGTAGTGAAATTAGGACATTTTAGGCTTCAGGCAATATCTAAGGAAAATATAGTTTTAAGCCCAAACACTTTTAGTACACCATAGCATGTTCATCAAAATGGGATAATGATACAATTAAATTAGTTGGTGTGGCCTAAGTGAGACATATTTTGCACTACAGAGTTCAGTAAATGGATTCAAGGCTGCAATAATTTTTCTCCACTGACAACACTTAACTGCCCTGTGAAATTGATGGGCATGTCACAAATGTTCTACAAACTTGGTGCTGCACTATGCAAAAATGATGATTAATTTCTTTTACCATTGCTGTCAGCCACTGTCCGTCAAAAAATGCACACAATTTATGTGTACTGATGAGTGAATGTCATTGGTCATCATTGTTATCCATGAAAGTGCTAACAACAAGGGCATCTGTGTATTTGTATGCATGACCAAGTTTGTTTTCATTATATTGCTGAGTGGTGTTATGATGGAGCAAGGAGCTACTTGGAT